AAATTTTTAAATTTTTCTTTCGGTAAAAGTGCATAAAATCTTAGCAATTGTTGTTATCAGTCTGAAGCAACGTTGCTTTTCTTTTCATTTCGTAATGAAACTTTTTCAGAGACCAGTTTTGATTAACTCCACTGTAAAATTTATTATCTATTATCCAGAGATTGTATATTGCTTTCGAAAACAAAAGAATGATTGATATTTATTTGTGAAACGAGATGGAGTTAATGAATTAACTTTTGATCAATGAAAAATTCAATTAAGTCCAGTTAAAATTCAAATTAAGTCTTGTTCAAGCAACGTGATAATTTTTCTTAAGTAATTTTCATAACGCAAATTATTGAGCAGCACAAATGACTCTTTGTATCAGTGGTTCTCAACTTATGAATCGCTAATTTATGATCCCTTTGACTCTGTTATTTTTGATTTATTCACTCTATTTGGCAGAAAGTTTGTTTGTGCGTAATAAAATAATCCTTCCAAAGTGATTTCTTTTCCAGAAAATTCTTCGATCCAATTTCAAGAAAATACTATTTTAACAGATGATCGAATATTTTTTATCAAAGATTATATTTTAAGAATATCAATTGTCACGCGTTATTAATAAAGATTAGAATACAAGGATTGAAGTACCAGAGTTGAAATATTTTTATAAATAAATAAAATCATTTTTTCATTTTTTACCATACAAGTTGAAATACCAAAGAGATACGAAAAGTTATGAATAAATGTTTTTTTTAAGTGTTACAATATCATTTCTTAGCGTTTCTAAAGTTATTTTTTTAATTATTATCCAAGGAGTGAAACATATTTGGAGGAGGTTAAAAATAATTCGAACAATATTACAAAAGAGGAGACGCGTCTCGAAAAAGTTGAGAAACACTGTTTCACATATTACAGAGGAACTGTAGAAGAAACATGATTTCTATCACGTATTTCCGCGTAAGTAATGCAAAACATCGAAGAGAATAAAAGATAATCGTATCCGTATTTCAAATTCATCGTTCAAAATCCATATACATATAACCATATCGATTCAACAAATTTATAAAAATATCTCGTATTTTTTTCCTGTACAAAATAAATATAAATATAATACGCAGAAAATAACAATTTCATTCTTTCTTTTTTCAACCTTATTCTTCTATAAATCGTATATATTTCATATCTATACAACATCACTGACCTTTCGCAAATAATCGAAACAGTAATTAAAAATGTAGATAAAGGGAGGCACAGTAAGAGACGCTTTTATTTTTATACTATCGTACAGATTACGCGCAGGCCCTATAAAGATATATATATATATATAATAAAAAAAAACAAGAACAAAAAAAAAAATGTTTTGATGAACGCGCAATTACTGCTCCTACCATGGCCTTCGACCGATCGAAAATATCGAGTGAAACGATTACATTGTTATCAACGACGAATTTCTTCATAAGATTATTCCATCTTTGAAATTTAAAGCTATGTAAATAGGCTCGTTTACAGACGAAATGTTGCATTGTGAAATACAAGAAATAAATTGTAAAACAGGATTTTGGATACAGACATTTACAGACATTTCTTTTCATGAGTATTATTGTTTCATATTTAGGGAACAATGTGATATAACGTGATTCAGAATATGTCGTTACAGAGAATAATAATTCTTTGCTCGAATGGTTGAAAATAAAATAATGCAGAGTTTAGTAATGAAGAAATTTTTTGAAACATTTTTTTCATACAAGAACAAGAATTCAACAATTTTTCAGTTCGAATCGCGCTATATCTTGTGTAACAATGAAATAATTATATAAAAATAAGGTTTTCAGGATCGGTAACGGAACATCATCGCTCTTTGCGGTTTTTCCCTTAATTTTCTTGTTCCAACTTTTCAATGATTCGTATAATTATAATTGAAAAGCACAGAAGAAGAGAAAATTGATGAGTTCATTTTTATTGATTTTTCATTTTTTTTTTTTAATCTAGTAGTTAAAAGTAACTGATAAAACTGGTGATTAATATGTAATTATT